AGCGGCGGTTGCCCGCCGTTCTTTGTCATATGTTTCGAGACGGCCATCTTTTTTAGCCCCTTCCTCCTGGTCACCCGATGTTTTATTCTATCTTTTCCTTCCCTTTTTCTCCCTTTCTTTTCGTCGTCGCATCACACGGCAAAAACACAAATGCACACACGGAACTTTTAGTCTGGCTGCGCTTTTCTTTTCCTTTCACTCTTCACGCATATTTTCTTCTTTTTTATATCATGTAATCCTCTTTCACGGTTTATCGTTTTTCGTTTAACTGACAGTCCAACACCGAACTTATTCGCGAACAGTTGGCAATTTAATTCGTTATCGTTCACATAATGATAAAATGTAAAATAAAAAGTCAATTGCAAATGGAGCAGACATCGTTCGTGTATATGTCATTAGTCTCAGTCGGTTGTGTTGACTACATGAGTTGCAACACAGGGCTGTATGACTATTGTGTATTCGTGTAACTATGTATATTTTAGGGTTTTTTAACTATTTTGGATTCTATATTTTGTTTGAAATATTATCGATTACTACCGTTTCTGAATAGTTTGATAAAAAAATTGGATTAATTTCATGATCAAAATTTATTTCGATTTCAATTATTAAAAACTTTTATTTGTTCCAAATAATGAAACATGTTTCTTAATATACTGTTTTATGTATTATGTATAAATCTGTTTATTAGATTTAGCGTAACACAAATTTTACACCAAAGAAGGTTATGAAACAAAAACAAGTAATACGATTACAATTGACGAACGACTTATTCTTAAACTAATATTAAATAAACTTATTTCCTGTGTATCGAGTATTGGTTTATATTCAACATTTTACCGCTTATTACTACGATTATTTCAACTTTATTTTTTATACGTCACTGGTTAACATGAATTATTATACACTGTGTCTCGTTCGAAACTGACTACTTAATTATTTTATTTCAGTTATAACAATAAAAAAAGTATTGTACAGGTAATTTAAATGGTAAAAAAGTCAAATATATTGCAAAAAATATTTTCTTTACAATGTGATATTTTCAGAATATTTGATTTCGCAATTTTTTTTTATGTCGAGATGGTTTATTTTTCGCACGTACTGTAGCTAAAATTTTTTACATATATTAGCGACATCTATGTTCAGATTTGTTTCACAAGTAATATAGTATTGTAAGAAATGTTATACCATCAAGTCCCTGTGGCGCAGAGGATAGCGCGTTGGACTTCTAATCCAAAGGTCGTGGGTTCGATCCCCACCAGGGATGGAAAAAGTGGTTAATAATTTGACGTTTATTATCCATATATTTTTTTTAATTTTAAACGTTTGAATATTAAAATATACTTTACCTTCAAATTATAATTTATTTTACATTGTATATCTTAAACGCTCATGGGTCAATGATGGATAATGAATGAAAGTACTGTTATATTTGTGCACATTAATAGATATGTAATTTCAAGGTTTATGAAAGTCTGAAATTTCTAGAACACTTGACCTTTCTGAAACCATCGCTAATCTACTCTCATCTATACTCTCTATAAAACCTAACCATAATACCGTTTTGTGATTGACTTTTTTTCATCGATCGAGGAACTTCAATTATTTTATTATTATAGATACCGTTCATTAATCTTGCTGTTGTCAATAAAAACTCGTTCTTGTCAGAGTTATCTTACCATGCTCACTTTTAACTTTGATTTAATTTTAGTTGCTTTTGGTTTGAAGTAAAAATAATACCGAACGGTGGGCGCGAAAGAAAGGGATGCCGAGGTGAATAGACTGCGTGTAAATATGTATCGCGGCGTAATAATCATGTTGTTCCCTTTGTATCGTAGCAAATTATCTGCATTAATGAATTCTAACCTAATTTAACCATAAAAATTAAATTTTTCATCATATTGCTGTCTAACATTATATAATCCTATAAAACAAAGTGTGTGAAATAAATGTAATTTATTTATGAGAAATTTATAAGCACTATATAATTACATGATTTACATTATAATTATAAAATAATCACTATACACTTACATGATCTACAATTGTAAAATAATTATGTACTGTTTATCTAGCTAAATAATGTACTTTACAACTGATAAATAATTATTTACAAATTATAAATTATAAAAATATTTATATTATAAAAATTATTAATGTAATTATTTAAAACTTTTTAACGTTTCTATGTGTAATATTTTAATCAATATTATAGTAAATGTGACATAATTTATTCGACTGAGATTTATGATAATATAAAGGTCTTATTCGTTTTATAATTACTGTAAGATGAATGATATATTTATACTGTTCGCCGAATTGTAAGAACAATGAATTGCGCCCAAAATCTGCTGGAACAAAGCCAACTGTGATATAGCACGAGACAGTTAGACGCTTCAGTTGAATTTTTATTGTAGAATCGTGCGGAAAGCTCATAAATAGCTACTCTACGTATTTTATCTCTGTTGTTACTGGTAAACATTACAGAAGATCGTGACGTCTTCTTTTCCAGGAATCATCCATGACTTTTAAGAAGCGCTCTTATAAATATTATATATGACCTGCGTGCACTTAAGTAGTTAGTTATATTTTTACACTAATATTATTTAATATTATTGTATTGTTTAATATATATATACATATATATAATATTTATTATTTAATATTATTTTTTCTGAATCAATAATATATTATTTAGACAATTTATGTTTAGTACAAATTTTATAACCTTTTTAATTTTTTATTTTTAATTATTTTTTAATTTTTTTCAATTAATTAGTAAATTAAATTAATTATTTCATAATTAATCATTTCAAATTTTATAATTTTTGAACAAATAATGATTGTATATTATTTTCAATAGATAATCATTATATAATATGTATTTTGTTAAATGACAATAAGTAAAAACAAAAGAAGTAGAAATAAAAAATAATCTATTTTTAAAAATTGTATTATGGCACGATTTGGAAATACGTATTCCTAACGTGCTGAAAACTGTAGTTTGTTAGAAATTGTGCTGATTTCACCAGTTTCTGATTATAGCTCTCGTTTCGCAAGATTTTCAGCATAACAAATATTGTAAATTCACGTTTATTGGCTTTGAAAACAGACCAGGAATTTGTTTCAGAGAATTGTTTAAACGTTGACTTCGCGGACTTATGAAATTACAGTTCTGTTCACAAAATGAAGGTAATAACAATTCGTCATCTTCTACGTTGTTTGTGAAATATTGTATAATTATGTAGAATACGAAATGTGATACTTATTTGCAAATTGGCGTAAGCTTCACTGATTTCGATGACCTTGAAATATGTTCTCAAGGACGTTATTCTGAACAACTTTTCTCTATACATATAATCATCTATCAGTTTTGATTTCGGAGATATTCGCAGAAATATTTTCAAGGTTGTAATTATTTACAAAAGGGCGCATTATTATACATCATTAATGTAAAATACTTAAATTGAGTTGAACAGAAGAAATATTTATTTCAAGAAGAAGAAACCGCACAATACGTACTACGCACATGAAGATTACACATTTGTCATTATATCGTGAAGGGTCGAACATTCTGGAAACAGTACATTTCTATAACATTCATTCATCGATAATTAAAATAAACGTAAGTAAATACTTGATATTTGTTTTCCATTTCATTAATAGTTAAGAATTTTTGTATAAATAATTGTATTATTTATTCCCTATTTTTATAAATATTGTGTGCTAGATTGTTCCACTTATCTGTAGTAATCAAACCTTCTATTTTATATGTATACTAATAAACAGCCGTATCTGGAACAGTCTCCTTATCGTGGTTTTATTTAAATTGTTGATGCGTACCAAAATAGAATCTCAGCAATTTCCTGATATGAAATTATGCTGAACGATGTTACGTGGTAAACATATTATTAAGCGACGTAAGACACAAATAAAAGAAAAACCTTATTAGTATTTCATTTCGTTTTCAATTTTCTTACAAA